GAGGAGTGGCTGGTGGGTTTGAACCGTCAGCCTTCTGGTTAGCAGTCAAGTGCCTTAGGCACTATGCTACCAGAGCTCCTATATATGCAGTAGTATGGCTTAATTCTGAAAGAGTGTAGCAGTACTGCTTGGATTAGCACCATCAGATAGAAATCCCAAGTAATTATGCTCTGCATGGAGAGAGGACTGGGTGGTTCAGTATTCTGAGTAATGAATCCACCAATAACAAGAATTTACTGGATGTGTGTCTCTGTGTTTATATTACACATGAATATGTATCTGTTTATAAAGTATATTTGTTGTTGTTAATGGCTTTTGAGTCGGCCCCTAATTCATGGTGACCGTATGCACAATTGGATTGGACCATTGCAATCCATATAGTTTTCATTGCCTGACTTTTAGAAGTAGATTGCCAGACAAGTTTTTCCTAATCCATCTTAGTCTAGATGCTTCACTGAAACCTGTTCAGCATCATAGCAACATGCAGGCCTTCACTGACAGATGAGTGGTAGCTGCACTTGAGGTGTATTGGCCAGGAATCAAGCCCGGGACTCACACATAGAAGGCGAGAATTACCACTGAATTACTACCACTCTCCATAAAGTGTGTGTGTACAATATGTAAATATTGAATGTTATGGGTTTGTGTATGTAAGTATACATACATTCATAAATACATACATATATGCACTTTACCTATCTATTTTAATATATAAATAGAAAAATTGTATTTCAGTACTTATGACCTGGTAGGTCGGTAGAAAAATAAATAGATAGGTCTTGAAAATGGAATAGAATTGAGAGTATTGAGAAGTAAGAGTTGTGTCTCTTTGTGGATTCTAATTCTAAATATCTTTCATTTGTTAAGGGCATGAATTACTGTCCGAATTACAGCAGCGTCGATTTAATGGCTCAGATGGAGGGGTCTCATGGTCTCCTATGGATGATGAACTGCTTGCACAACCACAGGTTATGAAATTATTAGATTCACTTCGAGAACAATATACTCGCTACCAGGAAGTTTGTAGGCAGCGTAGTAAGCGCACACAGTTAGAAGAGATTCAACAGAAGGTAATGCAGGTAGGTATCAGTATTGCCTGGTTTGAATATGTTTAACTTTTCATGGAGCATTTTTATTAACATACAAGTGGAATCGTTACAGTATTTATTTTTCTGTGTCTGACTTATTTTATTCAGAATAATGTTTTCAAGATTCATTCATGTCGTAGCATGCATCAAGATACCATTTCTCTTCATGGCTAATCAGCTCTCTTAACCGTATACAACTTTAAAATTAACTATGTTTGGGAACAAGGTCTGTCATCTTGATGCATTCTTGAAATAAATAATATTTGCCTGTTGATAGTTGGTAATTATGAATGTTTTGTTACTTTTTACAATTCTTTTCTTAATAAGAAAACTAGGTTAAAATACTAAATGTCAATATAAAGGAAGGTATTTATGTTTTTAGATTACGTTCTGAATTTTTATCCTTGAATTACTGAGAAACTAAATCTTTACATGTTTTCTTTAACAATTCTAAATATCCCTATGTTTTAATCTAAATTCATTCATTCATTAGATAAATATTAAGTGCATATATGTACAAGGCACTGTGCTAGGTTGTATAAATGGCATAAAGGTAGAGTTGGTATTTACTACCATTAAGTTCAAGGAGAGAAAGTGTCAAGGGTCACAAAGACATAGATAAAGTGCTATGGACATTTATAGGAGTGATTATTACTCTGGCTATAGGGAATCAGGGAGCACTTGAGTTTGTTCTCTTAAGAGTTTAAGATTTCATCAGGCAGTGATATATTTTAAAGGAAATTTGGCTGTTTTTTTTTTTTTTTTTGGAGGAAAAGGAATACCATGGTTAAAAGAATAGCAGCATAAAATTTCAAGCTCTATTGAGGAAATAGTAGATACAGTGAGATGTGTATGGCCTTTGAGTCAGAGCCATGTCTGAATTCCTGTTCCTCTAGTTACTAACAGTGTGATGATAGTTACAGTACTTCATTTCCCTGAGCCTGTCTTCCTTCTTTTCTGCCTCCTTTTTCTTTTATCCTTCCTTCTTGCCCTTCTTTCTTCCTTTTATTAATTAAAACAGGAGTCACTACCTTTTTTGAAAGGCTCGTGTCTGGAAAGAACCCAGCTCAATTAGTGGCAGCTAATTTAAGGATCCCTGGTGGTTAAGCACTCTGCTGCTAACCAACAAGTTGGTGGTTTGAACCCACCAGGCAGCCATGCCATGAGAGAAACATGCGGCATTCTGCTCCTATGAAAATGTGCAGTCTTGAAAACCCTATGGGCACTTCTACTCTGTCCTGTAGGATTTCTGTGAGTCAGAATCGACTCAATGACAGTGGGTTTGGGGTGGTGTTTTTTTTTGGTGGGAGGGAGCGATGCATTGTATTTTTTTCTGTTGAAATATCTTCTAGAAATCTAGTTCAGTTGTTGGCAAACTTACTTTCTAAAGGGCCAAGTAGTAAATTGTTTAGGTTTTGCACTCTATTTGGCTACAGCTATTTAACTATACCACATAACTATTATAGTGTGTAAACAAATGGGTGTGACTGTGTTCTAATAAAACTTTATAAAACTGGGCAGTGGTCCAGAAATGGCCTGTGGGCTATATTTAGCTAAGCTCTGACCTCCAGCATTAGAGTGTCATACGGAAAAAGGCTTAAGAAGAAGGAAGGATTCTAGATGAAAAGAGTTATGGTTTATCCTGTGTAACTACATATAAACTGAAGATTTCTGAGCAGGCATTAATTTTTTTACTTTTCAACGATGCTGTGTATTTGCTATAACTAATTTAAAGAGGGAGGAGCCCTGACTGGCACAAACTGTTAAGCATATGTGTACCAGCTGAAAGGTGGACAAACTCACCCAGAGGCACCTTGGAAGACAGGCTTAACTATTTGCTTACGGAAGGTCAAAGCTGTGAAAACTCCTTGGAGCAGTCCTACTCTGTACACATGGGTTCACCATGAATCAGATCAACTTGACAGCAGCTAACAGCAACAGAAAAGAAGGATGGGGACATATAAGGCAATGTCTGATTTTGAGGAATAGAACCTATAGGAGTAAGGTCATGTTGACTGAATTGGACACTTACTGGAAACTCAGAAAAACAGGCACCAGCAGATGGAAGAGTGGTTCAGTAAGACAGGTGTAACCTTCCCTAAAAGATTTTATTTTTTCCAGAATTTGTTTAGAACTGTCCTTCTTTTTTTTTTTTTTCCTTATCTGCATGTCTCTCTTTTCAGGCTTTGTAAAGTTTATACTTTAGATATTGGGCTTAAAAAAATAGTTTGAGACTCATTTGAAAATATATTTTTTAACATTGTTTTTATTCTTTTCTTTCTTTTTTTTGTGATTTGGGTAAAAATTTACAGAGCAAATTCACTTTGCATACAGCAGTTCACATACACTTTGTCTCATGACATTGA